GGCTTTTGTGCTAACTTCCTTCCCTTTCATCTTCATAGATGCTAATACAGAAGGTGCCAGGTAGTTGCAGCGCCCTCTTGTCTACCCGGCCTTTAATCGTTTCCAACATTTAGATCCTCGAACGCCACTTTTTCGTTGGCGCTTTCCCATTACCATCATCACGACCAGCCTTGCGGCTATGGTCGAGCAGTATCTTCTTATTCATCGATTCCGGACTTTGTAAGTTCCGAGCGTCTGTTCCTCTCGAGCGCCTGGTTGACATAATCTGTCAGATCAAAAAGCGTTTTTGTCAGTTTTATCATCGGTCTGCTCGTCGTATTTCACGTAAGTATCGTCACTCATACCTTCCCTATCGGAGGGTTAGCTTGTTGGCGCTTACAATTTTACAGGTTTCCTTCAATTTTCTTGCGGGCATTTCGATGGCGATAGACCCCAATTTTGATTTCGGTCCGAATCTTGCAACTGTATCCGTCACGTATGTCCATCATTTCTTACCTTTTCTTGCTCTAGTCCATCCCTGACTGGCTCTTTGCAACTCGGAATAGTATTGCAACGGCCCTCTGCGCTTTTATTGATGTGTTGATACCTGGAGCCCTAGTTCTCACTCTCCGCAAGATGAAGACATCCTTTCACTCCACAAACGGGTGGGTAATCTTTTTTTTCCCTCCGCGCCTGGGTGGTGGTGGGATACTGGCATGGTCCTTACCGTTTTGAGTATCTAACCCTCTGATGGATGTTCTAGGCTCATTCGCCGTGTATCTATCAATGTTATTGCCTCCGGGTTGACGGTGGGCTTGTTCGGCATTTCTGTTCCGTTGGTTTTCCAACTTCGTAGTAACGGTATGTTTTTTTTGCCTTCCACTCCACTTCTTCTGACAAGAATGATTGGGGCATCAGGCATCCCTGTGGTCACGGGTACTTTTGGTCGACTGTACACCCTCACGGTTCTCGTCAACCTCCTTCTGACCAACAGCTCGAGCTCGAGGACTGGAGAGAACTCTGGTATTCACACGGATGGCGATTTGGAGAACTCGGTCGCCTTGTCGGATTCAATGCGTAAGCTATATTTCATTGCATCCCTTCTGTTCCAGTCTCATTCTGCGATTGAGTTCTGACACCAGTGCATAGATGTCCATCGATCAGCTATCATTCGGGTAAATAATAACGACTCTCCTTCACATCGAAAGGCGTCATTGATCATCGAATCGGATGTAAGTCCCAGTAATCTATTTTTTCGCCCTTGGCTGACTGTCATACCATGTCGTTAGGTTCCTGGGGCTTCACCACCGAAAGTTGATTATGCTCCGACCCTCCAACCGTTGGATAATCTGGGGTCATGACTTGAGCTCTCTCCGTGTCCCAATAGACCTATCTCTTGGTCAAACGATATAGGTCTCGTCGTGCCCATCCCTTAGGCGGATGTATCATCGTAATGTTATGGCATGAGATGACGGAACGACCGGGATACGGGGAGAGTGGTTTACTCAATCACACATTGTACAAGTAGGCGACCGGAAAGAAGGCATAGGCGATATTTACTGGTTCGATGACATGTTCATCGGCGTTGGTCGCCTGGTTCTTCTGCGGTATTATCTTGAACGGAACGCGCGCTGGTCGTTGCTCACCGGCACCAATTCATATAACTCTCTCTTTGGCGCGTTCATATTAAACTTTTAGTTTTTGCTGCTTGCTTCTTTGCTGTCACTGTCTACCCCATCTTCATCACGGACAGCTAGCTTCATCGTCATCTACTACCCATTTATCATCATTATCATCTGCATCTTCACATTCTGCTTTTATTCTTTGTTCTGTTGCATAACGCACAAAATTTAGGTTACAACCACGAGATAAAACCTCATCATGGAAGCTCATCCGTTCGCTTATGTTCGATATAGATAATGTTTATACCTTATGATTGGTTATCAATTTTGGAGACCATCGGTTTTACTTTTTGCTGTGCTTCTGAACCATGGAGATATGTAGGGTGCAGAGGGTCCTGTTGAGGCCAAAGGATATGGTTCCACCCCTGTTCCGTTTTGAGACGCAGTTGCTTGGCAACACCTTTCGGCGCAAACACACCCTGAGCGCTCACTGGCACAACAGCAGTTCGTTCAACACTTGGCTCATCGACGGCGTACATCAACCACGAGCGTCGAAGAAATGTGCCGGTTCTATCATCTTAAAGACGAAATAACCTGCAAGAAGATGCGCGAGCCGAGCTTCACCGGCACAAAATTTCCCTGGCCGCAGCTGTCCAGCGGAAAAACTCTCAAGTTATACACTATCGTGTTAATATCTTGATGGGAACCGTCCTTCGCATGACGCTCTTGGAAAGTGAACTTTTTCGCTGGATCTTGCTCTTGGCTCCTTGCTTATATGTTTATGTTTAGGAGGTGGATTCGAAGACCATATGGCTATGGCCGGCGGCCTTGAGGTACGTGTAACATGTAACTCTCGGAAGTCGACTCATTGGAGTCCCTAAACGACCAGAATTTCAACTTCTAGTCGCCAAATGTCGGCGTCCGATGCGTCGCATTCCGTCGTGGGGTTGCGTGTTATCACGCCATAGCGCACACACAGACTACATTTACAATCCAAGCTCGAGTGGCAAACACCTGGTTTCTGCCTAGATCAAATGTGGCCACAGTCAACTGAACGGACAGCGGCGATCATGCCGATTCGATCACCAGCCACCTTGCATTGCCAGTGATCGTATTATCTCGCTCTACCGTCACAGTAATTGGCTTTCTTTCTCTTCCTTGGAATTTCTAACCCCTCGAGGACATCGTCGTCGGTGGCCGCTCATGGTCTTTATATGCATATGCATCATTGGCATTTGATCACGGATATGGATTCACTGCCTTCCTGAATGCTCAGCATTATAGGAGAAACTGTGAACGGAGATGGGTGGGTCGAAGCTGCCTTAGGTTCCGCCATGGTCAAGGCATATCGGCCGCCCACCACAGGAGTAATTACTGCCGTTTCCAATCCAATTACGATCGACCTTCCAGATCGAAGATTTGAGATTTCGAGATGGATCTAAAAAGAGAGTTTTCTGCCGCCTGTATTGAACTCGACGGGCAGAGGCAAAACGTTTAGGCACCCGTATGTTCGGTTGTGCTAAGTTATGCGGGCGGCATGCAGTTCTTCGGCCTCGATATCAACGACAATGCTAATCATAGAATCAGCCTCGAATTTGGCATCATTGTCGACATATTGGCGTCCGGGTGGCCTTCCGTTTTTCAGGAATATTTGGGCATTTTTCTTGACGAAAATCATGATCCTCTTGACTTTACGTTCCCCTTCTCCCCTACCCTCGATTTGATTACAGGACTACGCCGAACAGCGCCTCCACATCGCGTCCCTGGCTTACCCTTTCGCTTTGACTCCCAGCTGGTTGGCCGAGGACTTTCATCGTCGTGTATCCAAAATGCCCAATGGTCTGGGGTTCGTAGCTCGTGACTGTTTTCTGAGTCGGCTCTACAGGAACACATCCGAATTTAGAGCTCTGGGCAATGGATCCTCGGGTTTGTCGGTCTGACCTCGACATCTAAGAAAGGGAACGAATATCCCATCTGGATATATGCGGCACTGGTAATCTCTCCTCGATGCAGGCTATTCTGGGCCCGGGAGGAGGGAGTCGTTGGACACCCCATGCCATGTGTACGAGGGCACTTCCCATCAGCTTTTTCGGAGCCTTGGACCTGCTAAATAAGATATGTGGTCCCAAGTTTAATTGAGGTATATGGTAGTGGACTTAGTAGTGGGTTCGGTTGATGTCGGCGTTGAAGTAGACGCTATGGTGCTGTACCAGGTAAGTGGTTCTTGTGATTGGACCGTTACTAGCGTCTGATTGAGGAGCCAAGCAGATTGTAGGACCTATGAACTTCGATAGAAGGTCGTCGCATGTCTATAATGTACGTAGACTGCCAAGAATGATCATACACCGACACAGAGCAGCCGTTCCCAAGGTTGAACGTTGAACGTTGAACATACTAATCATGTATCATGATCAAGTCCTATCCTAATCTTGCCTCCGTACACTTCTACTCTCGGCACCAGCCACACTTCAAGTCGGATATGGTGTAACGGCTAACATTGCCGCCTCTCACGAGTCGCGCGGCAGCTCGGGGTTCGATTCCCCGTATCCGAGTTTTTTTTTGCATCTCACCTTTGAGTCTTTAGCAAAGTGTGTTGGGTGTTGGGAAACGATATTTTGTGTGACATCATATCTTTTCTGAACTTCTCATAGGCAACCTGTTCCAGGTTAACAGGGCCCTGATTTTCGGTGCGCGATGTCAAGTCAAGTCGTGGAAGCTGCCTGTCTTCCTGTCCGGTTCCTCCCTCACACAACCGTTGCCCCAACCTAACTTCATTGTTCGGCCAAGGCCATGAGAATCTTTGCGAAGTCTATTACCCGAACAGAAGTATGCCAGGTACGCTCAACTTATTATTCTATCAGATTCCTTATACCCTGCCAAGTTGAGGTGTCTTCTTTGCTCTGCGCCGTGTGGGTCCCTACCGCTGCAAATCATGTCGGCCGACTAGCTCAGTTGGTTAGAGCGTCGTGCTAATAACGCGAAGGTCTTGGGTTCGATCCCCACGTTGGCCACTCATTTTATCGTTTTTCGCAGATGTGTACCGCATCAATTGGAATGCTGGAATGTTTATTTTTGGATGGGATACCCAGTGCTGTGCGTTCCTCCCCGCAGTCGATCTATGATGGATACAAATATATTGAACCAAACTCCTTGATTTTGCGCCTCAACGGGCTTGCGTTCCTGGTCATGGGTTGTCATAGGGGTTTTCAGCAGGGAATGTACAGTATATGGACTATAACATTGGCAAGTACCGCAATGCCATGTGCCGGTGAATGTGAGATTACGAGAGTCTGACTGACTGACCGAAGGTTACGTGAGGGGCGTACTTTTCACGAACGCGATGCGAAAACGCAGTTGAAAGGCGGGTCGCTGTCGTGCCAAGGAGCAAAAAATTCACCGTGGCCAACCTGGGGGTCGAACCCAAGACCTTCGCGTTATTAGCTCGACGCTCTGACCAACTGAGCTAGTCGACGTGGGCGTTGCGGGAGCTTGCATCGGGAGTCGGAGATCTCACATGGGTTATTTATGAAGCGAGAATTAAATAGGCCCGACGCGGAGGGAAAGCTAACCTGGGTAACTCCTGGAAATCCGGGCTGGAAGCGGGCTGAGGCTTCGTGCAACGGGGACCAAGAATAGCTCACACGGCTGGGGGAGACTTGTTGGTGTGGTTAAGGAGATTTCGGGGTAAAGATCACATGCCGAGCAGGTGGAAATGACGACACAGCCAAACGAGCAAGCTTAATCTCGGCAAATTTCATGTTTCCTTCCCTTTCTCTCTCATGGACCACCCACAACATCACCGCCCCCTCAATCCTGCCGTCCACATCCTCAACAACAAAAGAAACTCCTCATCGTCAGGAGCAGCAACGGCAGGCCCATCTAGAGCGGCGTCCACCGCCGCACCACACTCTAACCCATCCCAGGATGTCTTTAGGCCAAAGTTGCCCGTAGACCCTTTTGCAGAGTTGGATACCCCCCAGCCGTGGCTCATCCCAGCCCATCAGATCCTAAATGCCCTGTCAGCACCAGCGAGACAGGTGGTCCTAGTACTGGGAGGTGCGTTGGTCGGAATCTGCAGATCTGCCTCAGCGTTGGTCATCTCACATTCCCCATAGCTCCTAGCACCACAGACCTTCACTTCTTGCTGCATGCACCTTCACTTGCTCATGCGCTCCTGTTAATCGCCACTCACACGCCGTTGACGATCCCTGTCGAGTCCGTGAAGCCGACGGTCCGCGTTCTGCATTTGATATCTCCCCTGGCCGTCGAAGATTCTGGTGCTCTAAGACTTGTTGGTCTGTTGAAGCGAGCAGAGCGGGTTGCGCATGTCTGGCGTAATAGCCCAACGCGGCCGCATCAAGTCATCTATATGACGGAATCCAATCCAGGGGGAGAGTTTATGGAACAGGAGGCCCTGAACCCTGCAGAGGCCCTCGAAAGAGATGCCGCTGTTACAGACGACCTTGCTCAATATCCATCACCACCATCTTCATCCGCCAGCTCGGTAGCCTCGACTTCCACCTCAACACGCCCACGACCTGTCTCATCCTCCACGTTTTCATTCAATCTTTCAGGCTCCAGCAGTCTTCGTTTCCCACTGCATTCATCCGCTGCTTCATCGGCAACCTCTTTCCGTCCTTCATCAGCTGCACTTTCCACTGTGTCTCTTTCTTCAATAAGGTCGTCTAAATCTAGGTCATCTAAATATGTCACATCCGGCTCCGCGTTGCCTCCAACTTCTCACCATGGCAGAGAAAAGACTAAGAAACATCAGCATGGTCGGTCTGACCAATCCGCAGCAGATTCCGCATTTCTGCAGAAGGTCCATCGCGCTTTCGATGCTATCGTGAATTTCCTGCCAGGAAACATCCCGGAGAAGTCTCTGCTCAAACATGCCATACTGGTTACCACTCTAGGTGGACCCTTCTTGGCAGATCCTGATCAGCGTCCGAACCGGCCACAAGGTTTTGACAGTACCAAGGCCACGTCAGATAGTGCTTTCAGGCTATCTAGGACACTTTCTGTGTTCTCGCCCCGGTCCAGCAGATATCAGGACAACACCGACGCTATCGGGCAAGACGTTCTCGCCGAGATTGAGCGTCTCAACCATGAAGCGGCAAGTCGAAGAGCGCGTCTCGTTCATATCCTACCCATCATGATTCCATTGGATCAGGCATCTGTCGGAGTGGCTTCATCATCGTCATCTCATTCACCAGAACCCTCGTCGTCATCTACTCCACCTCCAAGCCGCCCTAACGTCGTAACACGAACCTCGAGGCCCCCCTCTCGGTCAAAACCTATTCCCAAACCTAAACCTAAACTCGTCCAAAGTGTAGAGCAATTCCTTCTTGGGTTCGGATATCCCCTTACTTCGCTTTCTGACGGCTCATCCTCGGTCACGCTGCCAATTGCAATGGACGCCATAACCACTCAAAATCCAAGTAATCAAAGACCCGTTCCGTATTTACTTCCGAATGGCGTTTGGTCACTCTCTCCGGGTCCTGTCTTTGCTTCAACTACAACTTCCTCTCCGACGTCTACATCGAGTTCCCCGCAGCCCGAGTTAGATCGACCTGTAATTCCCACTATAGGGGAGTTGATCCTCGGTGGTGCTTTGGACTCACTTGCTGGCACATCTTCTACGAGTCGACCTGCCACTTTACCTAGGGCATGGATTGGTGGTGTTGATGAAGTCAGAATATGTGGTGACTTGAGTTCGTTGAAATGCTTACAACCTCAATCATTTTCGACCGGCCTTCCGACACCTCCCGAAAGTTCGAGCAGCGTCGATAGCGACCACGAGCAAGAAGACTCGAGCACAGTGGGCCACGGCACGATCGAGTATCGTTCGGGATGTGAACCTGCATCTGTGTCTGATGCATCTCATCGATATCACTACAAGAAGCGGGCGACGGCATCGCGGGTGGTTACTCCGACACAGAGATACGCGGAGAAGATAAACGAGGTTTTAAATGAGAGTATAAGTGAAGAAGCGGAGCATACCCAACCTATAACGGAAGCACAAGCACCAGTTCATCCGAGGATCCGTACTCCTCCTGCTGTAGCGGATAGCGGTGTAAGGAGAAGGACGACGTCGTTACCAACCCCCATTGAACGTACCTCGCAGCTTTCCAATTTACCTAGGGTGGAGGAATCAGCGGTTGGTCAAAAGAAGTTTGGATTTAATTCTTTGAAGATTGGGTTTGGGAAAGCCAATTCGAAGGGGAAGGGGAGGGAAAGAGAGAGTTTGGGTACGATGCCAATACTGATGGAGAAGGAGAAAGAGAGTAGGTGGAAGGGATGGTTTGGGATTAATCGGACTGTTGCTGGTGTTGGGCAACGCTGAGTGCATACCGAAGCTTATAGACGCTTACCGCGGTCGTGGTCTACCCCACATCGGGGTTTGGTCTCGATCCGGCCCATTCCTCCTGCCTCGCCGCCACATCACGCACCATGCGTTAATGCCTTGGTACGCATCGTCGCGTTTTTCTCTTCTCTCCTTCAAAACGGGAACTCCATTGTGCCTTCACTTGGATTCCTAATGCACTTGTATATGGGTGGGAGGTTTGTTATAATTCTCGATACCCAACAGGGCCGTCTATCTATCGACCCTCCTTCCTTGGACGAGGTCTACCCACTTTTTCACCTTGTCTTTTCTTGGGACCTGCATGGTACAACTTCTATTACTTTTCTAAACTCCCATTTACCACCCACTGGATCATCGTTTCTCCCTATCTCGATATTTTCGCAGCATTTATTACATCTTCTCTCTCATCTCCCCATCTCATCCATCCACTCATTCAATCAAGAGATTTTTCAACCAACATATTCCCTATCTCTTCTCGCATTTCTGTCCGCATATATAAACATATTTTTAGCGCTTTCTCGTCCGCCGACTGCCTCCACCGCTTTCCTTTATTCCCTCCGTTAACTCCTCCGTTAACTCCCCATCTGATCTTTACGATACGGCTAGTCAAGTTCGTCTTCTTTTCTCCATCCATCTATCTACTATTCCATTTTTCGGGATTTTGTACCCACCGTGCCAACCACGGTTGCATCATACAGTCATACGCGTACGGTATCACGTATCACACACAGACATTACTCTCTCTCGTTCATTCATCCATTCGATTCTTTCTGCTACATTTCCACATTATTACCGGACATTATTCTCTATGAGTGTAATTGCAATGAATACAGTTAGTTATTTCTATCATTACAGTAGTAATCCTAACATTTCCCCCCAAAGTCGGCGTCGTTGCACCCTCGACATAATGACAGCTCCAAGCACGCGAAAAAAAAACACAGAAACACAGTTCCGTTACCACACCAACAACTGCCAGCTGCTAAAAATATCTGGGAGGGAACCCGAAGCCGACGTCAAGCACCCAGAGGTACAATACATGTTCGTAGCATGGTAAAAGTTAGACAAAATAGGATGGAAAACGAAATAACTCTACTGCGCATACGCACTATATAGCTACTGCCACTTCAATTCAGACCGTGTACAGTACCTCCTGGCAACTCCCCAGACCGAGCGCTAGCCTACTGTACAGCTGGACATGGCACTGCGCGCATTTACGCGACATTCAAAGGATCACAACGTCGATTATAATATCGCTTGATATTGGAATTCATATTATTGATATTGTAGTGCAATTCCTCCACGACTGCCGGGCTTGTGTATTTTTGGCTGGCCTGCATCGCTCTCGCTTATTTATTTTTGAGGCTCTCTTGCTCCTCACGATCATGTCGCCGTCGCTCTCATGGATGCCATTCAACGTTCGGGGCCGTCACCCCGTACCACAACGGGTAAAGCCTACCAGAACCGAGTGTGGCTATGATTTTGAGGTGCCAGTGGCCTCTGGAATGAGTTGTGTGCGTTCATGTACACCACCCTGGTCCCTTCCACCTCCTTTCCTAAGCCTGTCAAACACACAGCTTCGACGCCTTCGAACCGCTTTCTCAGACTCTCTGGATTATCACAAAATCGAGCTTCAGTGGCGTGCCGCCGGCGTGTGAGCGAGTACGGTAACGTAGCGTTCTTGGAAACTTGCAATTGAAAGGGTTTTGAATTGACCTGCAAATTTCCGGATTGCCTTTGCAGTACTGTATGATAACGAGCTGCTGCTAGCCACGATGGATAGCGCTGCAGGCTCGCGTTGCACCTAGGCCTACTGTAGGTTTTTATACGACATAGCGGCGCTGTGATACAGTGCATATGGATTGGATCCATGCCTTTTTATCGTGGCTGCATTATTGTTATGGCACCATACACGGTTCTTGCTGGAATTCCTGTAAGGCTGTAACGTACACCTTTGCTGTATGCGTCTAATCGATACAACATACGTCGGGCTGGACTCACCTAGGCCTTGCGGGGATTCGGACATGCAAACCTGATAGGACTTTGATCGTAAAGTCCTCCCACTGCTCTGGTTCCTGTCGAAAAGGTGAGTGAATTGGTCCAAATCCT